TAACAGGGAAAAAGCGATTGGAGACATGAGTGCTGCACATGCAGTGTCTGATATCCATAGTGATCTAAACGGGTTTATATCTTCTAATTTCTTCCTTGTCCTAAGAAATGATGCCTTTTGAAAGAACTCACATGAACGTGGTTGTGAACATAAAGCCAGCCATTAGCCTGAAAGAAACAAGAAATAAATATATAAGTAACAAGCCGTAGATTCATCTTACCATTGAGGTCTTGCTCCGACAAGGGTAAGCATCTTCAAGGCAAATCTTTTATGCAATTGACATTCTTCTATAGCCACCGATAGCATTAAACTGCTGAGAAACATCATATTGGTTTCCTAGAGTGTTGTTCCTCTTTTGGAATTTTTTTATCTAAGACCTACTTAATCAGACTTTAGAACTCACACTCAAATAGGCTCTGGCGACCGTATGAATACTTGCCACACCGAGCGCTGGCATGAGCACCAAAGGCAAAAGCGCAGTTACCGCAAGTGGGACAACTTCAGCAACCCAATAACATGACATCAACAAAATGCAATATGCACATCTTCCTTCCTGATAAGAGACGAGTTGACGATTGGGAGAGGTATCTCCTCTTTTATAATGTTGTAATTTACCCTTCCTGTTAGCAGCGGTAGAGGAAGCAGTAGAAGAGGCGCAACGAAAATCCAAATCGTTTTGAAGTATGTTTTCAAATCTCTCAGTAAATATTTGATCCAATGCATTAAAGCTTAAGTAATGAAGAATATATGTGCATTGAGCAGATACAAATAGTTTTTAGAACTATAAGGAACAAATTAAACAAAGATAAAGATGAGGATAGGTGTGTGTCTGTTTGGGAGTAAAGGGCAGTCAAAGACAAGATGGAAGTTACGCAAAGCATTAGTACCTTAAATGATATTTCATAGAAACAAGCAGAAGTGAATGACTTTGTGAGATGAAACATCCACGTTTTGTTGAATAGAACCACAGACAAGGCAAAAGCGGTGCCATCATCGTTAAGATCTT